CATTCTCATTCTACTGAGTACAGGCTGGAAATGTGCAGGGTTGGTCCTGGGGTCACTTAGAACACACTTTTGGGTTTCTATTCCACTCTGACAGCGCAGAAAACTAGAATTAACAGCAGTGGGAGGCAGCTGGTTTCACACAGCAGCCACAGGAAATGCATCCAGCAGGGTGGCCTGTGCCCGATTTGGCTGGCAGAAGGACCAAGGAGGGAGTGGGCAGTGGCACAGCTGTTACCTGGCACGGAGGCCTGGCAAACAGCAAGCCAGAAGCAGAATGCTGGAGGCTTTCCAACTTCACCAGTGCTGGGAAGAAGCTGCGCAGAGACATTTCTCTGCTGGGAATGCCTTTGGCTCCCACTGTGTACCGTTCACTTGAGGCTGAATAGGAAATAGACATTGACATCAAGCAGCCCTCTGCATCATAATCTGACAGAAGAATCGCAAGGGCCGTCGGGAGAAATAAGTAAACCCATCGTTTCAGTTTGTGGGGGAAACGCTAGGCCAGAGTAAAGCTGTCCCTTCCTCTGGGCTGAATAAGTAGGAAATAACCAGAAGAGCCAATGACGGAAAGAACAATGGAGAAGCCACTCTTCAAGAGGGAGAGAAAAAGGAAAAAGAGTTTAAAATAATGATAAATGGGTAGCTGGGGATCAGAACATAGCGATTAAACAGAGAGAATTGAGGTTTCCAAAAAGGATATCAGGGCAAAAGGATGAGAGTGACATTCAGATATATAATGGAGGAAAATTTGCCTGCTCTATGTGAGACCTGTGTATGTGTATCGTGAGGACTAAGGCAGCATCAGTCTGTTCCTTAACACATCCTGGTAATTTTTAAAAATTTTAAATGCTTCCAATGCATCTGGGGAGAAAATCAGGTGGCCTGCAAAGGGGTAAAATACTGTTTCCCTCTGATACACTCTCTATAGTATTAAAACTTAGAAGAGCATAGATTATAGATTACAGGGATATATGGGCAAAGATTTGGTACAGGAATGGTACAAGAATTTTATTCTTGCATATATTATTCCATTTCTGAAAAGGTAAGCTAAGTAGCTGCCAAAGGAAGTTCCCTAAAAAAATGACTCAGAGGTGAACTCTAGCTGACCTAAAAAGATACAAAATTCAGTGGTGGGAAAATTATTGTATAAAACCGTTTGCTCTGAGCACGGATATCCCTAAATTACATTTGAAGAATTGTTGCATATGTGGTTCTAAACCAAAGAAAAATGTCAGTAACACAATTTGAAAAAGATACACTTAATAATAAATTTGGCAGGATAGGTTATGTATGTTTGTCCAAAGTACTTGACACATAGTACGTGCTCTATGAATATTTGCTGAATGAGTATAGGATTTTTACCATGTATGTAAAAATAAGTTGGAGAAATGGAGATGGCCAGTACTTAGAGGAAGCTGAGTCATTTCCTCTCTCCCCTGGGGAAAGCAGAAAATTCAGGAGGGTATATAATGGAACTTTCTGTTCCTTTTATGCCTAAGAAAAAAAAATTTTTTTGTTATTTCAAAGTGGAAGTCCAGTTCATTACTGTCAAGTGATGATGGTGATGATGATGATGATGATGATGATGATGATAAGCATGAAGGGGCTTCATCAGATTTTCTGAGTGAATAACTTAGGTCATGCATTTAGGAAGTGTTAAGCACTCTGAGAGCAGACAGATACCTCTTGCCATTTAAAAGCTGCCCTCCAGGGGCGCCTGGGTGGCTCAGGTGGTTAAACGGCCAGCTTCAGTTTGGATCATCATGGGTTCCAGTCCCGTGTGGGGCTCTGGGCTGACAGCTCAGAGTCTGGATCCTGCTTCTGGTTCTGCGTCTCCCTCTTTCTCTGTCCCGCCCCTGCTTGCTCTCTGTCTCTCTCTCAAAAATAACTGAACATTAAATTTAAAAAAAATAAATAAATGAAAAATAAAAGCTGTCTTCCCATGTCAATAATGGGAGCATAATGGGTCTTCCCTGGTTTCTCACTGTTTAGGAAGAGAGATCTGAGAGATCTGAAATCTCTCAGATTTTAGCCGTGAAATCTGACTCAATCATACCACATTGTCCCCTCACCTCTGTCTGTATTAGTGTGATTCACTCTTAATTTTTCACATTGTTCTCTGGATTCACATGATTCGTTGAATTGAGTTACTCGGGGCTTTCATTTATAGGGAATTGATTGCAAATCAATTCATAACGATGATTCTTTTGAGATGACTACTTAACAATGAGTCACAAAGTTGGCTTTTACAGGTGTCTGTAACTGAAGCTCTCTCATTGCTGAACAGTGCTGTTTTCTCAGGTAGAAACTGTCCGCTTTGAGACTGTGGGGACTTTGTGAAACAGTTGGTAGTGACTTGTGTTTTAAACAACACCAAAGTTGTCTGATTCTAGCCACTCTAGAGTAAGGGAAAGCTAGTGAGGACCATTTGCATAGTCTGTCCCAGGGAAGACAGGGAAGTTTATTCTGGAGATGACTGATTCCAGAATCAATTGACCTCAAACCTCAGGGGCTGATGGATTTTTACCCTTGGCTTTATTATTATTCACACATATTGGATCATCTTTTATTTTTTTATTTAAAAATGTTTTTAATCTCTATTTATTTTTGAGAGAGGGAGAAAGTGAGTGAGAATGGGAGGGGCAGGGAGAGAGGGAGACACAGAATCCGAAGCAGGCTCCAGGCTCCAAGCCGTCGCTTGTGAACCGCGAGATCATGACCTCAGTTGAAGTTGGACACTTAACCAACTGAGCCACCCAGGCGTCCCACATTGGATCATCTTTTAGATAATATGAGGTTGTTCCCTGATTTGGGGGTGAAGTCTAGGGAGAGTCTTTATCTTTGTTCTAGGCAAAAAGCTTCAGGAGGTATTAAGAGTGAATGATTTACCTCCCTCCTGAATTTGACCTTGCCTCAGAATAACCGTGGCAGTGGGTTGGGGATTTCCTGGGAATTTCTGTGCCCTGCTCAAAATGTGCCAGAGATGTACAGCCCTGTTCTTTGTCCTCTATTGTCTATTATATCCAGAGAACGTTTAATTCTCTGTTTGAATAAGGCTAAGGCTGGATTATTTTCGCCTGTGAATTTTCCACTTTGTGAATTATCAGGGTAAATTTTAGACTCTTCCTGAATATAAACACACACACACACACACACATATATATATATTATATATATATATATATATATTTTATATATATATATATATATAATATATATATATATAATATATATGGCATTTCAAAGCCAAAAAGTATTTTATATCATCTATTTCTTTACTGTCAGTGCCTTTATGAAGCCAATAATTTTGACTCTATTACTATTGTTTAATAGATAACATAAGCACAAAGACATCAAACAAAATCATCTTTTAAAAATATTTTAGGGGCGCCTGGGTGGCGCAGTCGGTTAAGCGTCCGACTTCAGCCAGGTCACGATCTTGCAGTCCGTGAGTTCGAGCCCCACGTCGGGCTCTGGGCTGATGGCTCAGAGCCTGGAGCCTGTTTCCGATTCTGTGTCTCCCTCTCTCTCTGCCCCTCGCCCGTTCATGCTCTGTCTCTCTCTGTCCCAAAAATAAATAAACGTTGAAAAAAAAATTTAAAAAAAAATATTTTAAATGACAAATTCATATCTGTTACCATCTGTGTAATTTTCTCAATAATCCTGATTTCTTCTATTTTTAACATTATTATGACTTGAGTTCACAGACTATTTTCATCCATTTATGTGTCACTTTATCTATCATCATCTACCTTTGAAATATCACCTGGTTTTATTCTATCACATTAGTATCCAAAGGACTTAATTTGTCATGTATTCCCAGTCCTATTGTCCATAAAGAGTTTGTTTATTCATTTAGTAGGAGGGAGAAGAGAAATTCAATATATAAATAGTATATAATAAATGTATTAAAATTACATAATAGAAGATGTATACAGACCTACATGTACACTCACACACATATAATCTAAGGGAGATTGAATCTGCCAGATTATTGTGGTCTTCTGATGTGTGTCAGGGTGCTTGGTGGTGGGTGAGGTGTAGGATAAGGAGATTTACATAGAAAGGTAAGGGAGAGAAGAATCAACGTAGTAAGGTGAAGTGGGCGTGGTGAAGAGTGGGCGAGGGAGCGATTTTTGGTGGGGGTTGGGAGCTGAGGGAGGGATGCAAAAGTCTCGGAGTGGCTTTGGAGTTTGGAGAAAGGATTTTAGGAAACGTTGCCTTGGGTCTGTGTTGGATACCTTTTGGCATTCTTGCGGAGATACCATCAGGTGTCTTTATTTTTGGCTACTGGGAAGTGTTTCTTGAAATGAGAGCCTGCATAGAGACTGAATGTGTGTTGGGTGCTGATGATACAATGGCGGACATAAAACACATGCCCTCTGCTCTCATGAACTTACGTGTTAGTACAGGAGCTGGCATGAATCAAATATCCATCAACATATCCGTCATTCATTCACCAACTATTTTTTAAAGCACCTACGATGTGCCAGGCACTGTTTGGGGTTCTAGGAATTCTGATTCATCAATAAAGCAAACAGACAATATTATTCCTGCTTGTGGTGGCTTTATAATGTGCCAACGTATCTAAGCTGGAAGCACCTTCCCCAGAATTTTCTGTCTATAAGGTTCTGTCTGGGTTAGGGATGACCATAAGAGAAATCTGCAAAAGGTCTGAACACCATGAGGAAAGCTGCAGCCACTAGACCCTGATTGTCAGTGCGGGGCCAGGCACCGCTGTAGCTCCCGTACTTTGGAGATGACGTGCTGCGTCACCTTCCTTGTGCAGTATTGGGTGACCTTAGGATCCTGCTGGGTCTCCTCTTCCTGTTTCTTTGTGTCCTGAAGTCCAGAGTGGTGTTGCTCAGTGGCAAAGGGCCCACTTCTGCAGATGCCCACAGCACTGAGTTTGGAGTCAGTGAGTGACAGGTGTTATGTTCCACTTTGTCTGTATTTGTCTTTGTGAATTCCATGTTGTCCCTGTTCTCATTTGCATCCAGGTTTCCTTCCTGAATCATTGACTTGTGGTGTCTTCGGGCTCCAACCAGATGCAGAAGCCTGCACAACTGCCCCACCTGCTCCCACAACTGCCTACCAGCCAATCCTGACAATAATTCCCATTCTCTGTTTCTCACAGTGGTTCTGTTGCTCTGACTGAACCCTGACAGATACTCTGTGCTTGTGCGGTTTACATTCTGGATAGACAGTAAACGGCTTAATAAGTAAATTCTAAAGTGCGCTTAAGAGTGACAGGTGCTATGGAAAGAAAGAAAATCAGAGAAGGGAAAGAGTAAGGGTAATCTAGGGTGCCATGGGGCTGGAGGTGGGGAGGCAGGTGCCCTGTTAAATAAGGTGTCCCGATGGGCCTAATTGAGAAGGTAAGATCTGAACAAAGCCTTGAACGAGGTGAGGGGTAGCCAAAGGAAAATCTTTGAGAGCAGAAGAACATAGAATCCTCTCCCTAAGACAGGGGAGTGCCTAAAACATTCCAGTGGCTTCAAGGAGCCAATGTGACTGGAAAGGAGAGAGCCAAGAGGTGGACAGGAAGATATCAGGCCGAAACTGCATCAAGGGGTGTGATTTATACAGCAGGGGTTGGCAAATACCGGCCTATGGACAAACCTAGCCCCTCTGCTTGTTTTTGTACAAGTCTTATTGGCACACAGCCACGCTTACTCATTTACACATCATCTATGGGTGCTTTCTGGCTAACATGGCCAGAGTTGAGTAGCTGTGACAGAGACCATATGGCCTACACAGTCTGAAGTATTTACTAAAAAAATTTGTTGACCCCTGGTGTAGAGGCTCGGAGTGTTTTGCCTTTACTATGAACAAAATGCAAGCCATCTCAGGTTTTGGGCAGAGGAGGGCCACACTCTAGTTTATCTTAGACATGAATCACCCATACTGCTGTGTTGAGAGCAGACTCTGGGGGGCAAGGGTGCCAGGTTAGAAGCAGGGAGACCCATTAGGAAGCTATCATGGCATCCAAGCCAGAGAGGATGCTGGCTCGGGCCAGAGTGGCAGCGGGGGATGTGGTCGGATTCTGATTATCTTTTGAAGCTTGAGCCAAACTGACAGAGTGGATCTGGGTGTGGGAAAATAAAGGAGTCAACAGTGTACAACTACAACCCATCTTAAGTGCTAGTATAAAAGGTTTCCTCAGAGGTGCCTCAGGGACCAGCAGGAGGGGAGCATTGCCAATCTCCCCGCCCAACTGGAGCAGGGCTGCTTTGTCTGTTTTGTGTATTGGGCTGTCTAGTAATACCACTGTTCTCAACCTTGGCTGCATGTGAACTCTGGGGAGCTTTACAAGGTACTGATGCCTGGGTCCCACCCCTAAAATTCTTATTTAATTGGTTTGGGTTTCGACCCGAGCATTAGGATTCATAAAAGCTCCCCAGATGATTCTTCCATAAGCCAAAGTTGAGAACCACTGCTCTAATATTTTCTTTGAATAAACTTCCCATCCCTTCAGATGATGGAAAAGGACTGGTTTGGGATCTAGATGTGTGTGGTGGAACTTTGTCTTTTTAATTTTCATCTTCCCAGCAGTTAGTACCTTCATGATACCATCTTAAATTGCTGGGAAGGAATATCTTCTCCCTTTGTTCATAGCCCTGGTAGAAATGGTGACTGTCCCCCATCAACCCCCTACCCTCCACCATCAAAGTGAATTTTCTGGATCTCTTCTCTCCCTTTCCCTGGTACAGCCACATGGCAGCTGTCTGACTTGAGCTCAAGCAGTGGGACACACAGGTATCAGAGATGGTTGCAGGTGACCCATTGCAGCAATGGCCGAAATGCTCTCTGGGATTTTCTACCATGAAATGATTGCTGAGTATTGTTCCCAGCATCTTGGCCCTCAGAGCTCCCTTGGTTCTTTCAATCCATTCCCAAACCTGGTGCCTTGGCCTCTGGTACCCTGTCAGTCTCCTTTCCACTACCCTATATCATGTTGGTAAATTGCCTATTGCTTAAGTTAGTTTTTGCTTGCATCCAAGAACCCTATGGGCACAGAAGGCCTGGGTGGCATCCTTTGCTCTATTTGTATCATGACATTATTCCAGTCTATTCATTTGGCAACTGTACACTGTGATTTCTTTGTTGGAAAAGAGCAAACAAGAATAACAATCTATTGAACTATACTTACTCAATGGGGAACAGACAAATATGAGTTGGTGCCAGATCCTTTGGAGGTTATAATAATCATTTATAAAACTAGTATAGCTATCAATAATAACAATTTATTAATCATCCATGTCTTGAAAGTACAAAAATTCTACTTAATATTTCTACAGATGCCAAGTCTTGGGTTGAAGTGTATATATGTAAAATCATCAAAATGGTGTGCTAACACAATCCTAATCTTTCAAAAAATTTTTTTTTGAATAGGCGCACCTGGGTGGCTCACTTGGTTGAGCATCTGACTTTGACTCAGGTCATGCATGATCACAGTTCGTGGGTTCGAGCCCTGCATCTGGCTCTGTGCTGACCACTCAAAGCCTGGAGCCTGCTTTGGATTCTGTGTCTCCCTCTCTCTCTGCCCCTCCCTCGCTTGTACTCTGTCCCTCTCTGTCTCTCAAAAATGAATAAAACTCTAAAAAATTTTTTTTAAAATTTTGAATGTTTTATTTATTTTTGAGAGAGAAAGCGTAAGCAGGAGAGAGTCAGAGAGAGAGGGGTGCAGAGGATTGAAAGGATGTCTATGTGCTGACAGCAGCAAGCCCCATGTGGGGCTAGAATTCACAAACCATGAGATCATAACCTGGGCTGAAGTTGGAAGCTCAACCCACTGAGACACCCAGGTGCCTGACACAGTTCTCATCTTGGGGCATGTGTTGGATACCCAACGGAAGAGGAATTTGTGTCACTCTGGGTCCTGCAGGACACGGACACCAACACACAATTAGAAATGCAAGAGGTTTGCTGTAGGAAATACCCGTGAAAGATAAAGGGCAGAGGCCACAGGAATGATTAGAATCTTCAGACCATGTGGCAGGTGTGACATCTGTGGAAGGAGAGAGTGGAGGAAGCGGGATCTGGAGGAAGAACCTGAAATTAAAATGCAAACTCTGAGAAAATCTCGATCAGGCTGGTGAGGAGCTTCAGAGCCAAGAGTGCCAGTTAAAGGAGTCTCTGTTGGCCAGGAAACCGTGGTTCTAGCTGCCCTGTGGTGCTCTGTCATTGGCTGGGCACACCCTGGGAAGAGCATGGTCTCAGCGTGAATGCTGGGACAGCTCTCAAAGGTGTAGCACCTGAAGGTGGTCAACTAACTACATTCCTTGCAGCAAGCTCTGTCTTGAAAGATTTGAGCAGTGTACTTCCACAGAGGTCACAGAAGTCCAGAGGAGACACTCCAGTGGAGGAGTTTTGTCTTTCAAGAATCGAAGTCAACCTCCCTCACCTGCCCTGACCATTATTTAAGACAGCCTACAGTGTGAGAACCAAATAAACGAGAAGAGGTTTATTATGGTTTTTATGTGAGCTTTAGCAGGAAGTCTTTCAATCTGTTGTTTGAGGAGGGTGAGTCATTGTGAAAAATTAATGCATTTCCTTTCTCCTGGGAAGGGGTCAGGGGTGGGCTGCTGGGCAGGAAAACAAGCATTCGGATTTTAAGAACTGGGGCCCTTGGGGAAGGGTAAACACATTTGGGAGATCTCTATCCCATCCCTTGATGTTCATGTTCTGTTCTTTGTTTTCTCCTTTCTCTCACGCACCAACTATTGTGCCTTCTTTACTGAATCTTTCCTATCACTATACAAACATGTTCTTACAAAACTTTCCCTTGCCCCAAATTCCTTTCAAACCACTCTCCCATCAGTCCGCACTTATTCATGGCCCAGCATGCCAGCTTTCTCCTCTTCCTTTACATCACTCATTCCTTACTCAGTCCCTACCCTCACAGCTCCCCTTAGACATTGCACTTGTCAGGGGCACCTGTGACTTCCACGGAGAAAACTGAATGGCCAGTACCCCATTTTTGCCTTGTGTGACTTTGGCGGCACCCAACTCTGCTGACACTCCTTCCTTTTTGGAACCCTTAGCTTTCTTGTTTTCCCATTCCCCTGGTTTTCTCCCTACCTCTCTCTGGCTACTCCTTTGCAATGTCATCAATTAACTCCTCCTCCTGAACCAATTCTAAACCTTGTACTTTTTATGGATTTGATCTGAACTGAGTTCTCTATCCACCCCCCCCCCCACACACACACACCACCATCTCACTCTCCCTCTCCCTCCCTTGCCACTCCCTTTCTTGGTCAGGGTGCTATGGCCATTTGGAGCAAGGCAATTCTTGTGTTGGATGTTCTTTGAATTGAAGGCCCTTAACATCCCTGGTCTACAGGCACTTCAATCCCATCTAGCCTTTGGGCTTTTCATCAATTCGGCACAAGCTGACCCGGAAAAGAGAAATTTATACAAAGGGTTTATTAAGAAAGACCTCCCAGAAGAATTGGAAAGTGTGTGGGGAAGTAGAGTAGGGAAGGAGAGACACCGAGACGGTAATATTTCAGGCCAACTTCCAGTCTCAGACTAACCTCCAGGAAAGCTCTGAGCATAAATTACCCCTCAGGGTTGTGCTGGCTTGAGACAAGGGAGCTGGGTATTCACATTCTTACTTCCATCAGTCATTGGCTAAGGACTGCTTGTTGTGTGTGTGTGTGTGTGTGTGTGTGTGTGTGTGTGTGTGTGTAAGCATGCGTGAGCATGTGCGTGTGTATATGTTGGGACACAAGTTTGGTACGAGTGAATCAGGTATGAGTGCTGGAGGGTAGATGCTCAGAGGTTTAAGGAGGATTCCAGGGGATCTGGGTGGAGTGCAGACAGTATCTGTCACAATGGTCTGTAATAAGAACATGGATGAGATGGGGTGGGTGGAGGCTGAGCGGTCAGACCCCTGAGTCCCATTCACAAGAGAGCCAGCCCCCTTGCAGTTCTGTTTTGTGGAAAATCCTCAAGTGAGTGCCTAAGAGAGGCTATATGTAAGTTATAACATGAGTTCATATGAGCCGTGTTGGCACAATGCCTGCTCCCAGCCTGTGGGCCCAAGAATACTGTCTGGGGTCAGCTGTCCACCTTGCTTGTACTGAGGCCTGGTCTCCAAATGCCCTTCATGGCATGTGTCCCGTCTCCTCCCAGCACCGCTCCAGGCCTCTCCTGAACCTAACAAGATCCCTTGTGGAGGGGGATATAGGCATTCTCTCCATTATCAGCAATGGACAGGAATGTCTATTTTGCGGTGTCTCTCAGATTGAGGTTTCATAATGAAAAACATCACTAATTTGATAGTTTTAAAAGGACTAAAGAAATTCTCCTGTTAAAAGTTAGGAAATTGTTTAATAAACATACTTGTATGTTTTAAAAGAGCATTGCATACAGACTGCATGTAAGTACATCATGAGCTGGGAGTAGAGGAAACTGGACACTTCGTTACGTGAAAATACTAAAAAATAGTGAGAGGAGAATAAAAGCATTCAACTCTAACACCTGAAGGCAACTGGTTTTAACATTTTGATTCATTTCTTTTAAATATTTTTCCATTTATATTTTTCATATAACGCTTTCCCCACATAAGATTATAGTAGAAGCCCTTGCCTATACTATTGAATATTCTTGCAAAACATTATTTGAAGTTGCTACATAACATGCACATATCTTGCTTTACTCAACATTTTCCCAACCGTTGGATACTGAAGGTTTTTATAATTCTGTTTTGTAAATACCACTGCAATGAACAGTAGCATAAAAGTGTCTGTGTGTGTGTGTGTTTGTGTGCACGTGTGTGTGTGTGTGCATGTGTGTGTGTGAGAGAGAGAGAGAGAGAGAGAGAGAGAGCCAGAGACAGATTTGGAGAACTTTCCCAAAATATTTTAAGAGCTTGTTGTGGTTTTAAAGTATGTCTAAAATTTCTTTGATTAATCCTTTCTTCAAGAGATGGCTCTTAATTCCCCTCCTCTTGAGTATGAGATGAACTTAGTGACTCACTTCTAAGGAATAGACTATGGTGGAAGTGGTGGGTGTGACGTTGGAGACTACATTGTAACAGGCCAGTGACTTCTTCCTTGCTTTGTCTTGGGACACTTGCCTTGGGGAAGCCAACCGACATGTTGTAAGGATGGTCAAACAACTTTGCAGAGAGGTCCATGTGGGGATCTCTGCTAACGGGCTGCTCCAAGCCCTCCATCCCATAGCAGGCAAGAAGTTATTTTGGAAGCAAACCCAGGAGCCCCAGACAAGCCTTTCCATGAATGTATCCCTGGCCAACACATTGACTCCAACCTCATCAAAGACTGAGCTGGAGCTACAATCTGTAAGATAAAAA